TGACTGCTGGTGCCAAGAGTGTTGACCGTGGAGCCGAGCAAACTGAAGCTGTGAACAATCTCAATCTCTTCACCATCCATCCTGATGCTACCGATTGGTCTTGGAAATAGGAGTGGCATCCACTTCCAAAGTGTTCAAGACTTTTGTTCATCGTGTCACTATGAGTCATCTATGACTCGACAGCACTTAACAACAACCTTTCACATGCATATGAAACATTGGTTAGTGGAAGGGTCCATTAGGTGAGTGAATTCCCAAAAAGTGTTGGAAATTTCAAATGCTGGCCCTAGTCTACCATGAAACTAGTAGATAGAAACTAGAAACATGTATTTGTTTGTCCTATTCTAACCCAGGGCCCTTCCCTTGTCTTTTCCGTAGTGTTGAGGTACTAAGATTGGGAAACTCTTTCTTTATCAACTGGGATCAGAAGATGTTTTATGCACCGAAGAATTCACCAGCACAGGCTCGCAGCACTACCCTCAATGAAGAACTTGGCCAAGTCAAATATGTGTTCTCTGACAAAACAGGGACTCTGACGAAGAACATCATGATTTTTAACAAGTGTTCTATTAATGGGCAATTCTATGGTATGCATGTCCTCCTCTTTTCCCTGAACTTTGGGGAGATTGGTTTTAGGGGCCAGTGAGTTGACTGTGACTCATAGCAGTACCATGGACAGAGTTGTTGTTGTTGTGTTGTGCTGTAGAGTCAGAATTGACCCCTAGCTGACCCTCCAGTAGGTCTTCAGTGTCAGAAAATCACATAGGAGGAGATTGTGACAGATTAGAACTCTGAAATGCGGTTTTCTATACTGTAGTTTTCAAAGGAGTAAATCAACAGATTCTCCTACAGAGTCACTATATGGATTTGAACTGCCAACCTTTTAGTTAGAAGCCAAGTGCTTCATCATTAAGGTTCCAGGATCCTAAATCAATAAGCCTCTGACTTTTCTGCTTATTTCCTAGTGTCACAACCCTCCCTATTCACTAAGCAAAGTACATTCTGCATATTCAGTTCTAACAACAAACACTTTTTCATTATATTATTGATGGGATCCATTGTGTTGGGTGTTGTTCAAAATGTCTCAGTGTCTGGAGGAGGTGGAAAAGAATTATAATAAATCATATGGGCAAGTCAGAAATATGATTTCCCCTAAGATGAATCAGTCTTGAGAAAAACTATCAAAATGTGGAGTTTTATCCCAGGCCCAGTCTTGCACATATTTTATATTAAGCATATGATCTGAAGACTGAAACACACATGGTGTTCTTTTAGAGTGATGAAAATGTACTGAAACAAGAAAGAGGTAGAAAATGAACAAATTGTGAACTTTAACTAATTGATGGTATGTTAGAAGGCCCTGGTGGCCTAGTCTGTAGGAAGTTGTATGACTTCTCTCTGGAAGTTCAAATCCACAAGCAGGTCTGAGGGAAAAAAGATGAGCAATCTCCTTCCATGTAATTTACAGCCCTGGAAACCCAAAGGAGGGCCAGATATAAGTTGGTTCCAGATAGGGTCAGCTACGAGTTGGTTCCAACACTACAGTAATGAGCTATTATTGGTTTTTGTTTGTTTTTATTTTTTATTATTATTTTTGTGTGTGTACCGTCAAATCGGATCTGACTGGTACAGGAGAAGATTGTCCCTCCTTCTCCAGCAGAGCATCTGGTGGATTTGAACCATGTGACTCTGGATTGCAGTGCAGCTTCTTGCCACTAGGCTACCAGAGCTCCATGAGTTATTATTGTTTTTTAAATTGGTTGTGATGGGAATTTTATAACATAAAATTTCAATTCTCTTAAAAAGGCAAGAGTATTCTGCTATTTCCTATAACTTCTGCCAAACAAGTTTTTAAAGCAAGGCTTATTTGGATGAAGATCTCAATTTTCTGACTTACTGTATAGAAAAGGGTCATAGATAATTCTGGTCTTGCCATCAGACTGTCTTCTACCCTACTCTTTCTATACTGCTGCTAGTTGGGACTCAAACATTCTCATGTTATTTTCACATCCCCTTAAACTTCCTTTTCTGACTGAGGAGTGTTTAAGGTATTAAGTTCTCATAGATCCAGTTACTTATCTCCCCACACTCTAACTTAAAGGAGAAGAGCTGGCATCTAGCAGGAGACCTATTCTTACTGGTTTGAGGAAAGAGTTTATTGAAGTACTGGTAGGTAGTACAGAGGAATTCAGAATAGCTTTTTTTCTATATTTTATTAATTTTCATAAACATTTACAGAGATTTTGGGTTTCCATTCATTCATTGTTGCACTATTCTCTCTACCCTCCTCCCAGTTTGTTCTTGTCCAAATGCCACAGTGCTTGTCAAAGCCAGTTCTGATTAATCTTCTTTGTCAGTGTGTCCTTTGCCATTCCCTATCACTCCTCCCTGAGAGAGACTTCACCCTGAGTCATAAGGAAAAGGGGATGGCGTATTCTCTTAGCTACTTCCTGCTGAAAAGGGACGCTGTGGGTTTCAGGGTGAAGATCTTCTCTCACTACTCTAAAGGGCCCCTTTGGCAGTAGGAAACACATAGACTATTATGGAGATTGATTTTGGAATTTAGATGCACTCTTATTGATTGTGCTTGGCCATACATGTTCATATCCTTGAAGATGTATCATGGGGGTGTTGCAACCTAGAAGACACAAATTTGACTAACAAGTTATAAGTACATGAGTCCAAAAATTATGGAAAAGTAAAAGAAAAGATTCTTTCATTGTTTTACAAACCCTCCCCCAGGTCCCCTCCACCATGTAGCCCTCGCTCTAGTCTCCTGTGATGACAGAAATACTTAGTTATATATCTCTTTTAAACAGTTTTCTCCCTCCTCTGTTTCAGTGCAGTATACATTATTGAACCCATCTTACTCAGTCTCTCCCCAACCCCAAGGACAGTCCCATTCTACAACAGTGGCATCATGTAATATTTGTCCTTTTGTGACTGGGATATTTCACTCAGCATAATGTTCTCCAGAGTCAACCATTTTGAATAATACTGCATGAGTTCCTTGTTTTTTAATGCAGCATAGTATTCCATTGTGCGAATATACCACAGCTTCTCTAGCCATTCGTTTGTTGATGGGCACTTAGGTTGTTTCCAACTCCTTGCTATTGTGAACAAAGCTGCAATAAACATGGGTGTGCATATATCTGCTTGGATGTCAGCTATGGTCTCTTCAGGGTATATTCCCAGTAGTGGAATTGCTGGGTCAAATGGTATCTCTATTTGCAACTTTTTGAGAAAGCGCCATACTGCTTTCCACAGGGGTTGCACCATTTTACACTCCCACCAACAGTGAATCAGGGAGGAATTCAGAATAGCTTTAGTGATGCAGATTTAGGATAAAAAAAATCAATCAGAAGAAATATTTTATTTAATTTTTTATTGTTTTTTTGAATGAAAGTTTCCAAAGCAAATTTGTTTTCTGTTCCACTATTAATACACTTTTTGTTTTCTAATATTAATTGCCATACTCACAATAGAAACACACTTTTCCCACTTCCTCTCTGTAATTCTTATTTCCATTAATCCTTCTTACTTATCCCTTCCTGCCTTCAGGGCTTTATCCTTGGGCTCTTTTTACTATATGTGGTTCATTATTCTAAGGAGTGAGTATCTTCCTGGCCTTAATTAATCACCTTATAGGTCAGTCTGTTGTTTGAACAAAAGTTGGGCCATAGAGGCATGTTTTGTTTCAGATTGGAAAGGTAACTAAGAGCTACAGTCTCACAGGTTCCACCTTTCTCTACTGGATCCATAAGCCTGGATTTTTGTTTGTTTGTTTGTTTAATTGATTCCACATTTACTCCTCACTTTGTCCAGGACCTTCTACTGTGATCCCTTTTAAAGTGGTCAGCAGTGAATGCTGGGCACCACCTAGTTCTTCTGGTTTCACAGTCAGTGAAGTTGAGGTTTGAGTGGTCCATTAGTCCTTTGGACCTTTTGCTTTTCTTCTCTCTTCTTTGTTCAAGACAGTGAAATACTTTAGAAAGAGAAACTTTTAAAAAATCCTTTATACAAATACTGCATAAGACAATTATTGTAAAAATAGGATAACTAGTAAAACATATGTGGTGATCCAAGCAGTGGGAAGGGGAGAAGTGAGGGATGAAGATGGGTAGGGGTGAAATAAAAAGGTTGCACAATTTGGTGGGTGGAGGGAGAGGGTAGAGGAAATGGAAAAGATCCAGCAGGGCTCTGAAAGGGTAATGGTGAGCATAGCCCAATGGTGATTAATTTTATAAAACATAATGAATGAGAATTGTATGAAACACAAGGTGAATGAATGAAGAATAGTGTGAAGCACAGTCTATGAATTTTCTAAGCAAACCAATATAATTTTTTTTAAAAAAGGAAGTGGAAAAACAAAACAAAACTTGTCCCTTACACCCCCAGCTAAGTCTCTACTGTGTTTACTTCTCAACAGGTAATGTCTATGACAGGAATGGCCAGAAGGCAGACATCTCTGAGGTCAGTAGTTTCAGCTCCCTGTGAAGCTGAAGGTTGGAATTCATTGTAGCCATGGTGTATAGCACCATCTTCAATACAAGTTGAAACTCTCTTGGTACTTGAAATTAAAGCTCTTCTTAGTTATCATGAAGTTGAATCCAACACAATATGACCTTATGTGTAATAGAACAAAATGTTGCTTGGTCTCTGCTGTTTTCATGACCATTGTTATGTTTGTGTCCATTGGATCCCATAAAGTATTATATTAATAACTTGTACTTATTGGGAAGATAGTGGCTAGCTTTATGAAAACATGCAGCCATCACAGTACAACAAACTGACAAATTGTAGCCATATTGAATGTTAAAGAAAAAATGAAACAGGTAACTTGCTGTCCTCCCAGATCTGTAATAAAGTACATATGAATATTGGGGGGGAAAAATCCACCAAACAAAAAGCCAAACCAACCTTGACTCAACGTGATCCTCCACTGGCTTTTTACAGCTGTAAATACTTAGAGTAGGAGAGTGACCATTATCTTTTTTCTGTCACTGACCTTTCAGTTTACAACCTGACACGTAATACATTATAACACTAGGTCTCCTATAAGATGGTAATTCAGGATTTGGTCCATACCTACCTTGTCTCTCATCACTCACCATCCTCTGTTTTCAGAAAATCTACCTGTACAAGAATCCAATTTTAGAAAATGTCTCAGAGTGGTATACAGTGAGTTATCTCAGGTTACTGTGCTTAAGCCTACTGTTATATTTACCATGTCATCCATCTCATTGAAGGTCTTTGTCCTCTTCATTGATCCTCTTCTTTTTAAAATATGATGTCTCTATCCAAGAACTGGATCTTCCTGATACAATGTTCAAAGTATGTGAAATCTTTGCTTTTGAGGACCACTATGGTCGACCTTCTTTTAAGATAGATTTGTTGGGGTTTTTTGGTAGTCCATGATATGATGAATGCTCTTCACTAACATCACAATTGAACCGTATCGGAGGGCGTCGCAGCGCTAGGGCGTCGCAGCGC